AGGCGTACTAGCAGAGCAATAATTTTTAAAAAGTTTCTAATAAATTAGCAGTAGAAGTTTCTAAATCCTATAAAAGCTTATATATTAGTTAGGTAAGTTAGTATCTCCTAGTCTATTACGGCTTTAATTTTTTCTAGGTCTATTTACAGGCCGTTAGCTCCTATAATAATACCTAGAAATGTTATTTCTTTAGTAAAGAACTTATATTTCTTAATTTTTACGTAGAGTCCTGCTTTTTATAGTAGTTTTAGTATAGTGCGGATATACTCTAGGTGTTTAGTTTAGTTCTAGCTATAAATTAGAATATTATTTAAGTAGGCAGTATAGAAAACGTTAAAATACTTTTATAAAGTATTATTTATAAATTACTAGAATATTATAGGGGCTCCGGTAAGCCTAAATAGTATTACTAAGGTTTTAAATAGTTCTAGTCGGGTTCGGAATATAGTAAGCTATTTTTAACCCTTTTTAACCCTTTTTTATATATAGGTTATTAAAGGCAGATATAATATTAATTTTTATAAAGTACTTTATTTTTTTTAGGTTGCTTAAGGTTTCCTTTATTAATAGTAGCAGGTAGTAGTTCTTAACTATTATAGTATTTAGCGCTTAGTAGTTAACGTAAAAGTAGAGGCCTTTTCTAGGCTTTTTTATAAATAATATAGGTAATATAGTAGGTAAAGAGCTAAGGCGGATAAATCCTTTCTTTAGATTATTTGCTACCTATTTTCTTAAAGCTATTAGCTTATTACAGAATATTAGGTATAAAGGTTTAAAAAAGGGTGTTTTTCCTTTTTCTAACTTAATTTTATAGTTATACAGGCAGTATAATAGCAGGCAGTCGGCGTTTTTAGGCGAAAAAATATCGGTAAACTTTTATAGTTCTTTAGGCAGGCGGTTTAGGTTAAAGCCCTTTTTTTTTAGATAGAATATAGTTAATATTATTTAGTAATATAGAGAAAAGTTTATATATTTTTTTTTATAGGTAGGCGCTATATACGCGTAAGGAAACAGGTACTATATTCTTCTATTAACCTATAGGTAAAACATATCGTGGTATATACTATATTATAATTTAAAACTAAACTGTGCGCTGCAATAATATAATTTAGAAACGAAAATCAAATTATACCGTAGTAAACCCTAACCGAATTTGCTAGTTCCAACGCTGCAGGCAAGTTATCGACTATTGCGCATTAAATACACTATTCGGATTAACGATGCGACCGTTAGATTATATTGTCGTCGTCGTATTAGAGTAGTTAGGGTTGTAATAATATTCGTGGCTGTGCGCAGCGATCGCAGTTAAGGCGCGAACGTAGGAGGGTAGTTAAGTACCTAAAGTTTGTAATAGATATAGTCGTTGCAAGCTATTTATAAGCCCTAGGTACCCGGAAATTAGGACCTACTATACTACTAGTTGCACCCAGGTATATAAGGTTGTAGATAGATCCCCTAAATATATAGTTAAGTAATAGGTGTAATAATCTAGGTGGCTAAAAGCAGAAGGCGTTAGGAAGGGTCTAAGTAGCGGTGAGAGTAGTTAAAAGCACGTCCGGCCGCTATTAACACGGCGATTAACACGTTTATTAATTATCTATTATCTAATATTCTATTATCCTATTATTATATTAAACCGTAAATCCGTTACAGCAATTATTATAGCAATCGTATTAAACGCTATAGAATAATTTACCCGAATTTTCGAGTATATCCCGCAGTACTATATTATAGTTTGCCGAGTTTATAGCTATAGCATTACTAAAACGCAGTTATAAATGCATTTAACTAAGCACTACTAGGAATTAATATTAGCAACACGAAAATCTATATAAAAGGCCGTAGCAGATATAGAAAATTAGGCCCAGAACAATAGGCAGGTTGTTTTCCTAGCACCCACCGCTAAACCCGTGCCGTATTTACCTATTTAGTATAACGGATTAAAATATTTAGGAACCTATAAAAACAACTAGCTGTATAGAGCTATAGTGCGCGGTTTATAGAATATATAGACCTATTATAAGAAGGAGTATAGGTAGAAGAATTCGCAAAAGTAAGGACGTTATTACTAAAGGCAGCAGAGTATTATACAGCGGGCGAAGATATAGGAAGTTGGCGTATATTACCAAAAATTCAGCAGTAAGGCGTTATTAGCCCGATTATTCTAGGTAAACGCGCATAACCTAGCTGCTAAGAGAGAAGAATAGAAGAATCCTATCCAGGAGGCATTAAAGGCCGTATTTACACAGGCAATAATTAATATTAAGAAAGCTAATAAGGAAGCGAGCAGTTAGATCTAGGCTAATAACAACCGATTTAAGGTTAATATATAGTTAAACCGCGCTAGATAGGCAAAGTATTTAAAGAAATTAGATAGCAAGTAGTTAGAGTTATTAATACGCAAGCCTAAGAAGAGAGAGGGAGCGTTGGCCAATTTATGTTTTGCAGTTAAGATAGTAATTTAGAAGGCGCAGCAAGCATTTAAAGCTAGTATAGTTGGATTAGTAGCTATAAATTATATTAATTAACGTGAAACCGGCAATAAAACAAACGAGAAGCCGTTTAGCGCATACTAGACGGGCAAGACAATAGTTAAATACAGCGCGTGTTAGTTGGCTATTATCCGTTATATTTAGAGAACCTGCAGAATAGAGCCGATTTGCAGTAAAAAGATAGAAAAGTTAGAGAGTAAGGGCGATATCTAAAACTAGAAGCTAGTATTTAGGTTAATAGGTAAATAGGGGTTAGCGTTGGCAAAGATCGAAATAATAGTAGGGCAGGATAAAGAGAAGAATAGCAATAATAGTAATATTAGCGATAATAGTAGTAATAGCAACAACAGTTATATAATTAATAAGAAGAAGTAAGAGAGGTTAGAAGAGGCCGTTTTAGCATTTATATTAGCGTTGTTAGACCACCCGTTCACGAATAATAAGTACACCAGCGCATTAATTAGCAGTATAGCCGTTTTAGGTATTAGCTAGTAATGCGGTTAGGAAAGCGCGTTAATATATACGCCTAAAATTGCAGCTATTATTAATATATCCCGCATGTTAGTTTTATATTAGGCTATAAAAATGCGTAAAAAGCGCGCGGCGGATATATAACAGAAGGAGTATTTTAGCTAGAAAAACGCTAAGGAAATAGCGCCGGCGCATTTTAAATTTATGTAAGAAATAGCAGACCGGTTTATAATATTAGTTTAATATAGCGGAATACCGCACCCTATAGATTAGTTGCAGCGGTTAAAGGCGTATAGGATAAAAATCCGGTACACTACTAATACTAAGGGCGTAATTAAGTAGATAGACGATATATTATTATATAGTAATATTCGATTTAGCATGCTCTAGTTGCGTTTAATAGTCTACAGGTTAGTAAAAACAGCCCGGGTCGAGTTGCACCGGGATTTATTATTATTAGAAGAGGTTAATTAAGTTATACAGGGGCTATTAAGTAGACAGGAAGCCGTTGTATTACCAGCTATTAATTAGGCGCATTTAGTAGATAACCCAGCCAAGTAATAGTTAGGATAGAGTTTTATTAAAAACCCGCAAAATTAAGAGTTAGGATTTAGGGGTGTGTATAGAAAGAGGTGGTTAAGTAATCGGGTTAGCTAGGAGCAGAAGATTAGGAAGAGGTTTATTAATATTAGAGCTAGCGACCTAGCAGCTGCTATAGCAGCAAAAGGTAAGTAAGGGTTAGTATAGAAGGGGAAGGAGATTAAGAAGTATATATAAGCGATGTAAGTATTCCGGTAGTATTTAGCAGCGTTGGTGCATATAACAGGTGGGTTGCCAGCGCGTGGAATAGAGTTAATAATAGTGCAGTATTAAAACAGCCCGAATAGTAATAGTAGAGGGATTTTTATTAAAGATAGGTTAGTAGTATATATAATAGCATACTATAAAGGTATAGAAGTTAGTAGAAAGGCTAAAGTTATCTACTAATATTTACTACGCGCGGTGGGCGAATTAGTAGTATATTATTTATAGTTGGTATTACTATTTTAGCAGAGGTTAGAAAGTATATAGGGCGGTTAACTAGCAGAGATTAGTCTATTTATATAGGAGCCCGAGCCCGAAAAGGGTTAAATAATACTATAGAGGAAGCGGAGGCGGGTTTAAATTAATAATACAGCAAGCGCAGAAAATAAAGAGGATAAAGAAAAGAAGGATAAAGAGGAGGATAAAAAGCAAGGAGAAAAAGAATATAAAGTAATAGAAGAAACCGAAAACATCGCCGAGGATAAAGGGGGAAAGAATATAGTTCTATTACCTAAGAAATAGAATTCTAACCGTTTAAAAATAGTATTATAAGAAGTATTATTGTAATAGATAGGGGTTAAGTTAAATATTATAGTATAGAGACACGGTACTAAGGCTATATACCGTTAATATATTAATTCTAAGGCGGTTATAAAGGCGGTAGTGCAGGGCGATAAGAACGATTTAGATAATAAAGACAAAGTATTTAATATCTAGACCGGCTATAGATCTAGGATTAAAGGGGGAATATATAGTTAGTCGATTATAGAGTCGATATTTAGCACTAAGGCAAGAAGGGTATAGTTGCAGAGGGTTAGTATAAAGTAGTATTAGTTTTTATAGTTCCTATGCGCGATACAGACTAAGCTAAAAAAAAGAACCTGCGCAGCAGCCGATAGAAAGAAGGCTATTAAAAAGGAATATTAATAGTGGAAGATAATAAAATTAGTAGATATAAAGCAGCAGTTAAAAGCGTTAGTAGGCGAAAAGGCCGAATTTCGGGGCGTATAGAGACTAGTATTAAAGGCTATTATATACTATAAGAGCCCGGTAGTTGCTATTATAGGCACAGGTAGAGGCAAGAGCATATTATTTATATTGCTAGTATTATATTTAACAGGCGTAATAGTAGTAGTTATGCTATTAGTATTATTATAGAAGGATATAAAAAGCCGTTGTAATAAAGCCGGCATTAGTTGCGTTGAATAGAATAGTTAAAGTCCGCAAAAATAGGCGCAGGTCGTGTTGGTCACGCCGGAGTCGGCGGTTAGGGAGGTATTTAGCAATTTTATTAACCGACAGCGGTTAATAGAACGGTTGGACCGGATTATAATTAATAAATGCCACGTAATTTTGGATTTAGTAGGCGGGTGGAGGAGCAGAATATTAGCGTTAAGGAATTTAGTTATAATAGAAACGCAGTTAGTGTATTTAATAGCAATAATCTAGCCCTAAAAAGAAAAGGAATTTATTTAATTAATAGGGTTGCCAGCTAGGGAAGAATGCCAGTGGTTTTAGGGGCCAACAACGCGGAAAAATATTATATACTGCATTTAATAATACAATATATAATAGGAAGAAAACGCAGTTGTTAAGTTAGTAGAGAGTTTAAAGCAGAAGCACCCGGGGGGGCAGGTAATTATATATTGCAACACGGTGAAGAAGACAATTCGATTGGTAGAAGTTTTAGAGTGCGTTTATTTCCACCGAAATATAGGAAGCAGCAAGGAGAAGAGCGAGTTGGTAAAGCAGTTAACTAAAGGGCGATAGCAGGTGTTTACGGCCACGAACGCATTGGGGTTAGGCATTAATGCGCTAATAATTCGAGCGGTAGTGCACGTTGGAACAATTCGAAAAATGCGGCATTACGCGCAGGAGAGCGGAAGGGCAGGGCGTAATAGGCGGAAAAGTAAAGCAATAATTATGCACGGATTCCGAACAGATAAAAGGGGCGTTGTTTATAAGCAGGATTTTAGGGAGGACGTTAAGAAGGAAATACAGGGATTTATTATAGGTAGAGGTTGTATAAGAAAGATAATTAATAGTGTAATAGATAGGAACTAAAAGCAAGTAGAATGCGAAGAGGGGGAACAGAGATATTAGCAATATTAAGCGCGTTTAGAAGTAGCGGTTAATAAAAAGAAGGCAGTTATAGAAGCCGAAGTAATAACCGATATAGTAGTTGCTAACAGGGATATAGATAAGATTGTTTCGATTAATTAGAATATACGCGCCAGTATAATAGTTGTAATTAAGGACGCCGATAAGCCCGATAATAATATATAGGGCGTTACCACAGTAGACAGCGTGTTAGGGGTACTACTAGCAACGCCCCGGATGGAAAAAAAGGCGGTTGCAGAGAGAGTGGAATTTAAGCAGCAGTTATTAGTTTAAAAGGCACGAGCAATTAGAAAGGCAAGTTTATAGTTAATAGAAGTATTAGAGGTGGATAGATTAGTTGAATTAATAGAGCAGTAGAAGGTGGGTTGCCAGCAATATTAGGTATAGGAGGAAAGGAGTAAGGGGCATAATATTTGGCATTGCGATAAGCCGGAAGCGGAGAATATTCGGGTAGCAATTAAGATATTTTAAGAAAAGATAAACCTAATAAAGAAGGCGCAAGGAAAGGGGGCAAAAATATTATAGGCACTGTTTTTAGGGTGTTAGGAGTGCGGATTACTATAGGGGGTTTGCGTAAGTTATAAAAAGGATACAACGCAGGAAGGGTAGCAGAAGTAAAGGGGAAAAAAGTGTTAGTATAAAGAAGTATTAGCAGCAGTAGTATACGCAGTATAGGTGCAGTATTCTAAGGAGTTTAGAGATTTTGTTAAGAAGGAGATGTAAAAGGGGGGGTAGAAAGAAGGCAGCAACAGGGATTAGAGGAGCGTGTTATAATAGTTTAGCGGGAAGGTTTAATAGGGTGGATTAGAGTTAAATTAAATATATTAGGGATTTATTAGATTTATAGAGCAGGTTAGGAGATAGGAAGTTTAGGGTTATTAAAGTTTTAAAGGGGGAGGTAGGTAGGTGCCTGTATAGGGTTAAGGGAAGGCGGCGGCAGTAAATATTTAAAGTAGGATAAAAAAGTAAGTGTTAAGTATAGAGTAAAAGTTTAAAAAAGTTTGTTTTTAAAAAGGGGGGGTAGGTAGGTGCCCGTGTGGGATTAGGGAAAAGCGGCGGCAGCGGATATTTAGAGTAGAGTATAGAAGTAAAAGGGAAATATAGAGTTAGAGTTTAAAAGGGGTGTTTTTTAAAAAGAGGGGGTAGGTAGGTGCCTATTAACCTATAGGTAAAACATATCGTGGCATATGCTATATTATGATTTAAAACTGAACCGTGCGCTGCAACAATATAATTTAGAAACGAAAATCAAATCATACCGTGGCAAACCCCAACCGAATTTGCTGGTTCCAACGCTGCAGGCAAGTTATTGACCATTGCGCATTAAATGCACTATTCGGATTAACGATGCGACCGTTGGATTATGTTGTCGTCGTCGCGTTGGGGTAGTTAGGGTTGTAATAATGTTCGTGGCCGTGCGCAGCGATCGCAGTTAAGGCGCGAACGTAGGAGGGTAGTTAAGTACCCAAAGTTTGTAATAGATATAGTCGTTGCAAGCTATTTGCAAGCCCCAGGTACCCGGAAATCAGGACCCACTATGCCACCAGTTGCACCCAGGCACGCAAGGTTGTAGATGGATCCCCCAGATGCATAGTTAAGTAACGGGTGTAACAATCCAGGTGGCCAAGAGCAGGAGGCGTTGGGAAGGGTCTAAGTAGCGGTGAGAGTAGTTAAAAGCACGTCCGGCCGCCATTAACACGGCGATTAACACGTTTATTAATTATCTATTATCTAATATTCTATTATCCTATTATTATATTAAACCGTGAATCTGTTACAGCAATTATTATAGCAATCGTATTAAACGCTATAGAACAATTCACCCGAATTTTCGAGCATATCCCGCAGTACCGCATCGTAGTTTGCCGAGTTTGTAGCCACGGCATTACTAAGACGCAGTTATAAATGCATTTAACCAAGCACCACCAGGAATTAACATCAGCAACACGAAAATCCATATAAGAGGCCGTAGCAGATATGGAAGATTGGGCCCAGAACAACAGGCAGGTTGTTTTCCCAGCACCCACCGCTAAACCCGTGCCGTATTTACCTATTTGGCATAACAGATTGAAATGTTTAGGAACCTATGAAAACGACCAGCCGTGTGGAGCTATAGTGCGCGGTTTGCAGAATATATAGACCTATTATAAGAAGAAGCATAGGTGGGAGAATCCGCGAAAGCGAGGACGTTATTACTAAAGGCAGCAGAGCATTATACAGCGGGCGAAGATGTGGGAAGTTGGCGTGTATTGCCAGAAATTCAGCAGCAAGGCGTTGTTGGCCCGATTGTTCCAGGTAAACGCGCACAACCCAGCCGCTAAGAGAGAAAAATAGAAGGATCCTATCTAGGAGGTATTAGAGGCCGCATTTACACAGGCAATAATTAATATTAAGAGAGCCGATAAGGAAGCGAGCAGTTAGATCCAGGCCAACGACAACTAATTCGAGGTCAATGCATAGTTGAACCGCGCCGGATAGGCAAAGCATTTAAAGAGATTAGATAGCGAGTGGTTGGAGTTGTTAATACGCAAGCCCGAGAAGAGAGAGGGAGCGTTGGCTAATTTGTGTTTTGCAGTTGAGATAGTAATTTAGAAGGCGCAGCAAGCATCTAAAGCCAGCGTGGTTGGATTGGCAGCTATAAATTACATTAATCGACGTGAAACCGGCAACAAAACAAACGAGAAGCCGTTCAGCGCACGCTAGACGGGCAAGACAATAGTTAAATACAGCGCGTATTAGTTAGCTATTGTCCGTTACATTTAGAGAACCCGCAGAATAGAGCCGATTTACAGTAAGGAGATAGAAAAGTCGGAGAGCGAGGGCAATATCTAGAACTAGAGGCCAGTATTTAGGTTAACAGGCAAACAGGGGTTAGTATTAGCAAAGATCGAGATAATAGTAGGGCAGGATGAAGAGGAGGATAGCGATAATAGTGACATTAGCGACGACAGCAGTAATAGCAACAACAGTTATATAATTGATAAGGAGGAGCAAGAGAGGTTAGAGGAGGCTGTTTTAGCATTTATGTTAGCGTTGTTGGACTACCTGTTCACGGACAACAAGTACACCAGCGCATTAATTAGCGGCATGGCCGTTTTAGGTATTAGCCAGCAATGCGGTTGGGAAAGCGCGTTAATATACACGCCTAAGATTGCAGCTATTATTAATATATCCCGTATATTGGTTTTATATCAGGCCATAAAAATGCGTAAAGAGCGCGCGGCGGATATATAACAGAAGGAGCATTTCAGCCAGAAAGACGCCAAGGAAATAGCGCCGGCGCATTTTGAATTTGTGTAAGAGATGGCAGACCGGTTTATAATATTGGTTTAATATAGCGGAATACCGCACCCTATAGATTAGTTGCAGCGGTTAAAGGCGTATAGAATAAAGATCCGGTACACCACTAATACTAAGGGCGTAATTAAGTGGATGGACGATATGTTGTTGTATAGTAATATTTGATTTAGCATGCCCTAGTTGCGTTTAATAGTCCACGGGTTGGTGGAGACAGCCCGGGTTAAGTTGCACCGGGATTTGTTATTGTTGGAAGAGGTCGATTAAGTTGTGCGGGGGCTGTTAAGTGGACAGAAAGCTGTTGCATTGCCAGCTATTAATTGGGCGCATTTAGTAGATAACCCAGCCGAGCAATAGTTGGGATGGAGTTTTATCAAGAACCCGCGAAATTAAGAGTTAGGATTTGGGGGCGTGTATAGAAAGAGGTGGTTAAGTAATTGGGTTAGCTAGGAGCAGAAGATTAGGAAGAAGTTTATTAATATTGGAGCCAGCGACCTAGCAGCCGCTATAGCAGCAAAAGGTAAGTAAGGGTTAGCATAGAAGGGGAAGGAGATCAAGAAGTATACACGAGCAATGCGAGTATTCCGGCAGTATTTGGCAGCGTTGGTGCATATAACGGGTGGGTTGCCAGCGCGTGGAACAGAGTTAATAACAGTGCAGCATTAAAACAGCCCAAATAGCGATAGTAGGGGGATTTTTATTAAGGACGGGTTAGTGGTATATATAACGGCATACTACAAAGGCATAGGAGTTAGTGGAAAGGCCAAGGTTATCCACCAATATTTGCCACGCGCGGTGGGCAAATTAGTGGTGTATTATTTGTGGTTGGTGTTGCTATTTTAGCAGAGGTTAGAGAGTGTATAGGGCGGTTAACCAGCAGAGATTAGTCCATTTATATAGGAGCCCGAGCCCGAAAAGGGTTGGATAATACTACAGAGGAAGCGGAGGCGGGTTCGAATTAATAATACAGCAAGCGCAGAAGATAAAGAGGATAAAGAAGAGGAGGATAAAGAGAAGGATAAAGAGCAAGGAGAAGAAGAATGCAAAGCAATAGAAGAAACCGAAAATATTGCCAAGGATAAAGGGGGAAAGAACACAGTTCCGTTACCTAAGAAATGGAATTCCAACCGTTTAAAGATAGTATTGTAAGGAGCGTTGTTGCAATAGATGGGGGTTAAGTTGAATATTATAGCATGGAGACACGGCACCAAGGCTATATACCGTCGATATATTAATTCCAAGGCGGTTGTAAAGGCGGTGGTGCAGGGCAATAAGAATAATTCGGATAATAAAGACAAAGCATTCGACATCTAGACCGGCTATAGATCCAGGATTAGAGGGGGAATATACAGTTGGTCGATTACAGAGTCGATATTTAGCACCAAGGCAAGGAGGGCACAGTTGCGGAGGGTTAGCACAGAGTGGCATCGGTTTTTGCAGTTCCTGTGCGCGATGCAGACCAAGCTAAAGAAAGGAACCCGCGCGGCAGCCGACAGAAAGGAGGCTATTAAGGAGGAATATTGACGGTGGAAGATAATAAGATTGGTGGATATAGAGCAGCAGTTGAAAGCGTTGGTGGGCGAAAAGGCCGAATTTCGGGGCGTGCAGAGACCAGCATTAAAGGCTATTATGCACTATAAAAGCCCGGTAGTTGCTATTATAGGCATAGGTAGAGGCAAGAGCGTGTTATTTATGTTGCCAGCATTGTGTTCAACAGGCGTAACAGTAGTAGTTGTGCTATTAGTGTTGTTATAGGAGGATATAAAAAGCCGTTGCAATAAAGCCGGCATCGGTTGCGTTAAATAGAACAGTTAAAGTCCGCAAGAATAGGCGCAGGTTGTGTTGGTTACGCCGGAGTCGGCGGTTAGGAAGGCATTTGGCAATTTTATTAACCGACAGCAGTCGATAGGACGGTTGGACCGGATTGTGATTAATAAATGCCACGTAATTTTGGATTTAGTAGGCGGGTGGAGGAGCAGGATATTGGCGTTGAGGAATTTAGTTATAATAGAAACGCAGTTGGTGTATTTAACGGCAACAATCTAGCCCTAAGAAGAGGAGGAATTTATTTAATTAATAGGGTTGCCAGCCAGGGAAGAATACCAGTGGTTTTGGGGGCCAACAACGCGGAAAAACATTATATACCGCATTTAACGATATAATATACAACAGGAAGAGGACGCAGTTGTTAAGTTGGTAGAGAGTTTAAAGCAGAAGCACGCGGGGGGGCAGGTAATTGTATATTACGACACGGTAAAGAAGACAATTCGATTGGCAGAAGTTTTAGAGTGCGTTTGTTTCCACCGAAACGTGGGAAGCAGTAAGAAGAAGAGCGAGTTGGTAAAGCAGTTAACTAAAGGGCGACAGCAGGTGTTCACGGCCACAAACGTATTAGGGTTAGGTATTAATGCGCCAATAATTCGAGCGGTAGTGCACGTTGGAACAATTCGAAAAATGCGGCATTACGCGCAGGAGAGCGGAAGGGCAGGGCGTGATGGGCGGAAGAGTAAAGCAATAATTATGCACGGATTCCAAACAGATAAAAGGGGCGTTGTTTATAAGCAGGATTTCGGGGAGGATGTTAAGGAGGAAATACAGGGATTTATTGTAGGTAGGGGTTGCATAAGAAAGATAATTAACGGTGCAATAGATGGGAACTAAGAGCGAGTAGAATATAAAGAAGGGGAACAGAGATGTTAGTAATATTAAGCGCGTTTAGGGGTAGCGGTTAATAAAGAGGAGGCAGTTATAGAAGCCGAAGCAATAACTAATACAGTAGTTGCCAACAGGGACACAGACAAGATTGTTTTGATTGATTGGAATATACGCGCCAGCACAATAGTTGCAATTAAGGACGCCGATAAGCCCGACAATAATGCATAGGGCGTTACCACAGCAGACAGCGTGTTAGGAGTACCACCAGCAACGCCCCGGATGGAAAAGAAGGCGGTTGCAGAGAGAGTGGAATTTGAGCAGCAGTTGTCGGTTTAAAAGGCACAAGCAATTGGAAAGGCAAGTTTATAGTTAATAGAAGCGTTGGAGGTAGACAGATTAGTTAAATTAATGGAGCAGTGGAAGGTGGGTTGCCAGCGATGTTGGGTATAGGAGGAAAGGAGTAAGGGGCACGACATTTAGTATTGCGATAAGCCGGAAGTGGAGAATATTCGGGTAGCAATTAAGATGTTTCGAGAAAAGATAAACCCGATAAAGAAGGCGCAAGGAAAGGGGGCGAAGACGTTGTGGGCACTATTTTCAGGGTGTTAGGAGTGCGGATTGCTATAGGGGGTTTGCGCAAGTTATAAAGAGGATATAATGCAGGAAGGGTGGCAGAAGTAAAGGGGAAAGAAGTGTTAGTATAAGGGAGTATTAGCAGCAGCAGTATACGCAGTGTAGGTGCGGTATCCTAAGGAGTTTAGAGATTTTGTTAAGGAGGAGATGTAAAAGGGGGGGTGGAAAGAAGGCAGCGACGGGGATTAGGGGAGCGTGTTATAATAGTTTGGCGGGAAGGTTTAATAGAGTGGATTAGAGTTGAATTGAATATGTTGGGGATTTATTAGATTTATAGAGCAGGTTAGGAGATAGGAAGTTTAGGGTTATTAGAGTTTTAAAGGGGGGGTAGGTGGGTGCCCGTGTGGGGTTAAGGGAAGGCGGCGGCAGCAAATGTTTAAAGTAGGATAAGAAAGCAAGTGTTAAGTATAGAGTAAAAGTTTAAAAGAGTTTATTTTTAAAAGGGGGGGGTAGGTGGGTGCCCGTGTGGGATTAGGGAAAGGCGGCGGCAGCGGATGTTTAGAGTAGAGTATAGAAGTAAGAGGGAAACGTAGAGTTAGAGTTTAAAAGGGGTGTTTTTTAAAAAGAGGGGGTGGGTGGGTGCCCGTGTAGGGTTAAGGAAAGGCGGCAGCAGCGAATATTTAAAGTAGGACAAGAAAGCAGGTGTTAAGTATAAAGTAAGAGTTTAAAAGGGGTTGTTTTTAAAGAGGGGGTAGGTAGGTGCCCGTGTGGGGTTAAAGGAAGGCGGCGGCAGCAAATGTTTAAAGTAGGATAAGAAAGCAAGTGTTAAGTATAGAGTAAAAGTTTAAAAGAGTTTATTTTTAAAAGAGGGAGGTAGGTAGGTGCCCGTGTAGGATTAGGGAAAGGCGGCGGCAGTGGATGTTTAGAGTAGAGTATAGAAGTAAGAAGGAAACGTAGGGTTAGGGTTAGGGTTAGGGTTAGGGTTAGGGTTAGGGTTAGGGTTAGGGTTAGGGTTAGGGTTAGGGTTAGGGTTAGGGTTAGGGTTAGGG